AGAAGCGTGATACATAGAGTCTTTAAATTTATTTTTATATAGGTATATATTCGAAAGCCTGCAGCAAAGTGAAGCGTTTTCAATCATGAATCTTTTACTTTTCGTGGCCAACGTGGTTTGAATACGAACCACCGCATCCGATTTTTAGCATACGGGAATACAGGAAAAAAGACAAATTTGATGTCAAAACAGAACAAACTATTCGTCGTTTTTAAGCTACAAAAAGCGTCCGGCAATATTACGTATTGAGAACGATACCCGGGACGATCCTTCTCTTCAAAAAAAACAAGAACTAACATTTAGAAAATATGTAAAAAGAAAGTTACGACATAAGACACCAAGCTGCTTTTGTATGCAGTAAAATATAGCCTCTGTTTTAAATATGAAATTATTTTGCTTATTCGAACTCAGACGGTAAACTGACGGAAGAAGCACGTTTCGCGTATGAGGCGAGAACACACTCTATATTGTATATTTAGTGATGTTCCATGTAGCTTCGACTACGTATCCACAAAGCAGATATTCTTAAGTCGGGTTTCAAGTAACTAATAAGTTATGGGAATCTCTTTCGCAAAAAATAGCGTGCATGCAATATTAAATGGTTGGTTACCGTTTTGCTTGAAAGTAATGGTTGTGATATGCCAAAAATGAGCATTTGAGAAACGATACAAATGTGCGCTAGAGGTGAATGTTTTATCCGCTTCATATTATTGCTATTTAGAGAAAATGCCCACAGATCCGTGACTTTCACTAAATCTGCCACAGACGTTGACTCGATTGATGTCCTTTAGACGTGACATTTCAATTCTCTTCTGTATAAATAGCTCTTGATCTTTGGACCTCTTTACGAAGAGTAAGGACTCATGCGTGCAGAAAATTCTCAATATTTAGTTCATAGGCTACACATATGATTTGTTGAGAGTAAATAAGCACACGTGAGACTCGCATGTACACAAAACATGAACTCGAAGATTATCTATTACGGACTCATCAAGAATACAAGACCCATAACTGTAGTTCAGGGAATATGGCCTGAAACCTATTTTTAGAACTGCAACAGAACTGTGCCATTAAAAAGTACAAAGGGACAATTTGCGGTTTAGTCCTGGTTCTATATTGATCTGTCAAAATTTTTCCACATTTTCCAGTATTCGATTTAAATCTAGATTGCCCCATTTAGTGTCTTGCTCAACACATCAATGGATAGGGCTTTCTTTGAGTCTATATTCGCTTCGAGTTGAGAAGACGTACTCAATTTTTTACATGTAATTTATCTGCCTGGTACAGTTATAACATTGGGTAGACCTAACCCGTTTTTCTATTCAGTTGGTTCTTGTCAAGTAGGCGTAGTAGCAGAAACTAAAAATACGATTTATGTGCTTAGCTCTCACGCTAAGAAATGTGCACATATTTACATATAGGGTAGGCACAACGTATACAATATGTTCGTCTGTCTATTCATGACGTGTGATGCGCTCTAAGATCTATATTTCTCAAGTTGATAAAGGAATTTAATATAAAGTCGCCGCCACCTGAGCAAATTCGAAAGGACAGAGAACGTATTATCTGGATTTCTGTTTCTGAGGCTCGACATAACGCAAACGCACTTGCTTCGGATTTATTCATCGCCCTTTGAGCCTTTCATATATATCAAATTTTCCGCCAATGTTCGGATATGAAAGATCTTTGACCGCCAGAACGTCGTAACAAATCAGACATAATAGCAATGAACAGAGATTATAGCAGAAGACAGTTGATATAATTTATGAAAGTACCGTCGACTGCTGAAAATCAATAATACAACGTATGTAACCCGCGTTTTCGGCTGATATGACTTCCGCTATGACTCTAGAATTTATAACATGGACTACTGGAAGCTGTCGCATTTCTGCCTTGCAAACCAAAATTGACACTAGTGAAAGGGTTGTTGTTAATTATATATTACCATTTTCGTCGTAACAGGGAATATCATTAGTCGTTTCTAACGTCGTGCTCTATTTCTCGTAAATTTCTGGCTCAGTTATTTGTGCTGGCCGAAGCTCTTTACATAAACAACTGTGTGACAAACATATTAGACAAAACTACAATAGGAGACACGAGATCTACGCAAGGGCCTCAATGAATCTCGGGTAAGGCAATTTTCAGTATTCGTAAAATTTCAAAGAACCGACACAGTATTACTTTTTGTTTAATTGTCATTAATGGTTATATGTTAATATACGCAATATTTACGCAAACACCACTATGGTAGCAGCTGGTTTTAATAAACGTAACGTTGTTTCAATGAGCTCACAGAGTATGCTTTTTATAACAGATCAATCTGGAAAGGGAACAACCGTTTAAAAAAAGGCCTACGATACCTTTTGATCTCGATGGCAATAGGCGTGATGATGGTTTTTGATAGCTCGCAAAAGAACCAGAGGAGCGATTATATTTCCCTGCGATCTAGAGTGTACTTTAAGGCGCAATGTTATCGGTGTAATAATGTATGGAAATTGGTCTGCATCCTTTTCCTTAGCTCGCGGTCATCCCAGAGTCATCGATCGGACGATACCGTGTTGGTACGGAGTGAAGTGAAGTGAAGTGAAGTGGTTCAATCTATAATTAGTGATAAAAAGTAGATTGACATTTGGGATTGGCATCAATCCTAATTTATCATAATCGGCAGTACAGAGGTTGACGCGACCCTTGATCCTGCTCGTTGGTCCTGCAGAGTCGCATAGCTTCTCAATCTGGCGGTACAGTTCGCATGCAAAAACGGGTGATGGTGGAACATGGTTTAAGATGAGGTCACTTCCTTCGTCTGAGGGGAAAATGTTTCTAGGATAGAATTGTTTTAGTGCAGAAGTTGAACAAAGCAGAAAATAATTAAAACCGCGTCGTGAAAAACCCACGTAGTATTACATCATAAAAACTATTGTCGGTTAGTAGTGCTTAAACCCCGTTTGGTTATAGATAATTTTAAAAACATCAAATTATACGGTCTACGGACTGTTGCGTAGAGAAGTTTACACAAGGTTAGATAAGAGAAGATCAGGAATCACAAATATTTCTTTTTACAGACGCATGATTAAGCCCGCTGTGTAGCGCTGTGCACGTTTTCTAAATTCCGACAATAAAGCGAAAAGCTTATTATAGAGACACCTTTTCTTGGGAACGACAACGAACGAGTTCTCTACAAGAAACACATTGGTCAGCTTTATGAATAACGCGTTAGATGTCAACGAAGATATTACGCTGAACTGCGAATCTATACAGCTGGCTTGAAAAATGTTCTGTCAATAGATTCGTGTAAGTGTATCGCATTAATTTTGTCAAAAACATATAATAAAATTAATAACAGATATGAAGCGAATCACATTTGGACATTTTTTTTAAATTATCTAATAATTCCCTACGGTCAATACTGTCTCATCTAAAGGCAAGCCTAAAGTCATCTTGCGCTATTCTGTGAAGTACCTATGAAAATAACGACGCCTTCGAAAGTCTCAGCGTTCCGAGTTTGCATTGGAGGACAACGGTGAGAAGAAAAGTTTTACATGTTACAAGGATATTTTCAAAACGGCGGAAATTCAGAATAAACCGATCATAATATGTTAGTTAGATGTCTATGTTTTGTACAGCCCTTGTCACTGTGCTTTAGACGTTCAGCAGCGTTTCTCAACAACGACAATTTTAAGCCGTTCTTCGGTTCGAAACTGCAGCATCCGATGAGCATAGCTGGATCTAAAAATACGCTACCTACAGACAGTATTATTACATCTCATGATTCTGGGCTCGTCATTTTGCATTTTTCGTTTCGTCGATCTTTTGTTTCTCCATGTACTATACGTTATTCTGAGCTATATCAACAATAATGTTCTTTCGTAGCAAAAGAAATATTAGGCATAACGAAAATAGCTTCAACGGACATATGTAATAGGTCCGTGAATGGATTTTTAGCTGAGAGTGAGGATGCATGCATGAAGTAAACGTGTGGCAATTTCCGCTTGCCCAGCCAGTTATAGCCAAAATAAAAGAAACCTAAATAAAGGAAAACGGCCCACGGCATAGCTGGCCTGGCATTTTCGCATTTGTAAGATAGAATGCGTTTCGATACGAATCTAATGATAGAATTATTGGACGATCAATTTTAGGTGTCACAAAATGAAGGGAGAACGGGGGGTGGTACCACATCGTTCTATTAGCGTTTTGTCCCAGAAAGAATGTCGCGCAAAACACGTTCAAAATATAGACTTGTCCTGTACATGAAGTCGTTCGAACAGTTGTCGCGTGAAATAGTGTTCTTTTGATAATCTGGATAACACTGTATAGTTTACTGAACGGTAAGTGTTATTTAGAGTCATTGCCAAGTACAGGAAATGCTGACTGACCTTTTGTGCACGTAACACTCAACGTCGAGACCAATGGGTCACGAATCATGATATGGGACATTAGAAAATAGTTACATGTAAAGAGATGATCGACTATTATTATCCAGTCACATTGAACAAATCAGATTTTTATTCAAGAATTGCTTGCTAAATAACCGTTTACGGGAACGACTTTCGATGTCTCTAACCATACGCCATTGTTGTTATTACTGATACCACTTTTATAGCTAGAAAGTTTCTTCTACCTAAACGTGTCACTCGTTACTACTCGTTATTTGTATTTAAATTCGACCTGATTCGGAAAAGTAATTTTGCATTGTGCCACATTGCAATGAAGAGGCCATAACATAAAAGTATTTCGTCTGCATTTTTGTTGACAGTTCGGTGTCGGCTGCTACTTTAATGGACGTGCACGTATGGAGACTTATACCCATCACATTAATAAGCTAATTTTCTTCAGAAGACATTTACCCAAACAGAAATATGTGTGTTCTTTGTGAAAAACAACTTACTACATTATTGTGTTGCCAAACATATCACAGCAATGTTTTCTAATTTCACATTTTTTAATTTTATTATGTGATGCATACTCGAGAGTATATGCGCCTTTATGAGTAAAATATTTACCACATTGAAGGGTGGCCAACGGAGCTTCATTATGTCTCGAGAGTAGAGAGGACACTTGGCGGTCCTTTGATGTCATCGCAAAGTAACCGCAGCTATCTGTAAAGAACATATAGAAGGAACGGCATTTTAGAAAATAGGATTCGGAGAAATAACGCTATTCTAAACTTAGTTTAGAATAAGTTTGTCAGATGAAATGAATAATTTACTTAATTAATTACTGACGAATTGCGGGATATGACGAAGGCCAACGTCCAGTCTTGTGTCTGAACCTCGCATCTCCCTCTCATGACGAATTGTAAAATATTCTAAGCTGAACACGAGCTCATAGTTCGACATATTTGCCTTTCGAGGACCACCAGTCGCTTGTATTTTATCAAAAGGCGTGACGTTTCATTTTTTAAAATAAGATACATATGACGTGATTATAGACCTCAGGCTTCCAATCGTTTTCTGTCCGTTATCTGGGTTGTTACTATGTAAACATTAGCACTAAGCTTTCTACTGCAATCGCTATAATGATTATGTACCTTTATTCACGGATCATTTTTAATGATCACTCATGAGACCGGATACACATTTGGAACTAAGTAGCATCTATCATACAAACGTCCACGTGCTAAACAAAAAGCTGCTCACCTTAAAAATAAATAATTTTACTATAATGTAATTAGTGACCAGCAAAAATATCATCCCCTATTACGGATATTTACTATTATTGTAGGTGCATAATTATCTGTCTCCACTAGGTAATATCAGCTCGTTTTTGCCACTCCTATGCTCTTATTACCTTCATCGTCAATTTCCCCGTCAAGGACCAAAGCTTAACACGCACACACACCGCCATCTGGAGACCATCCTATCATATTCCGTTAAGCAATACCGTGTTATAAGTGTACGTGAAGCAAGGGTCAACCAAACGGGCCGTAACTTATCGTTACATTTTCTTTCATGCCCGCTGTTTCATTTCTTCGTAAAACTAAGCCAGCAGCTACTAGCAGTAAAGCCGTAGAAATATAATAGAAGGTTGTCTGGACGAGGCGGAACAAAGTTGGCCGATTGAGACTAAGGAACACTCCTTCAGAGTGGAAAGTCATGGCTAGAAGAAAAGCAGTGGCCCAGAAAGATTCTTTGTTCATTCGTATCGCTTTTGTGGCACACTGAAGTCATCGTGCTTTTGTCATGAGGCTGGCAGAAAGCAGACCGCCAGCGAAAAGGAGCAGGCAAAAGGGGAGAACGAGGGAGCCCTGGAAGATAGTTCGTGGCGCGAATGGTCTTCGCCAGGCTAAGATGAACGACCACGGAATAGCTGTACTAGCTTTCCGTGCTTCTAGGTTTTCTAGACCTGGCGACTTGCACAGCTCTGCTCCGCTCCACAGCCAAAAAAGAAGGCCTAGGAAGAGGAAGAGAATGAAGCAAGGAACTGCTAAAAGCAACTCCACCTATCTTTCCGATAAGAAATGACCACTTTTCCTTAAGGCTGACTGGTTGACTGAAGCTGCTTGTACCGCAGGGTGAGAAGCAGCAAAAGCTGATAGAGTGACAGAGGCAAAGGAAATACGAGGACAAGATCGGAGTGGAGGGTGAGACGAGCTCCAAAAGCAGCGACTGCAGCCAGCAGCAGCACGGGCAGGTGGCGAGCAGGAGACGAGTGAAAAAATGGACGATAAATATGAACACGTACCAAACAGTACCTAGGTTGAGTCAACATGAGAGGGAGTAAGAGTTTGAACATACATATATATAACGAGAAAAAGGTAAAGTTTCAAGGCTTTCTTTCTGTTGTCTTTTCTTCCTCAGCATATAAGCAGTAGTAGGGAGCGATGAAACAAAAGCTTTATCTCTTTCTCTGGCACTCGCTTTTTTCTTTTACTCATACGATAATAGAAAGAAATATGGAACACATGGAAGAAGTAAAGAATGTCTGATATATGACATCGCTCCCAAGTTGGCCGTGATTCCCGAGCTTTGATAAAGCTCGCTTCGGGAAATGCCATATGATGATAGTGTGGCCTCCTACTGTTTCGGATGGCTAAGGCTGCAGCACAGGCCTTGAAGAATTCGCAAAACAATGCTTCTTATTTTAGATCTCACATGGCATTCTGGTGTTTGTGCTGTATGAATGACGTCATATATTATGTATAAATATATTCGAGAGAATATGGGCCTGGTTTTAGTATTTTATATGTACCTCAGTGAAACCTAATTAAAATATCTACACTTTTGAACATGCCTACCAGTTGTCACGAAGTGTGTCACATGCAAAGTCTAAATTAGAACACGTTTTAGAATGAATTCATTCGCTTTAATTTCACGTACGCGACACCTGCTGGAATAATGTATCGCCAGCAATTGAATAATGCACCAAATGTGGCACATCAACTCAAATTAAGGAACATATATCAGACGAAATTAGGTGGACCAACATTTCGTCTGTGTAAACAACTTTTGTATTTTGGCGGGTCTGCTAGGCAGTTTGTTTGGATAGAATGGGCGCACATTGTGTATTACCACATAATATACAAACAGCTACCATTGGCAAAACATTAATTCCATATTTGGTTGCTTAGATATGGTGCTATACGATTTAAGCGAGGTAAATGTAAAATGCTGCTAGCAGGCACACTTATCTTTGGAGCGTAAAGGCTCCATTGTGGGCATACAATGTCAATTTTGAAGCGATTAAGACTCTTTGTGAATTGGACAAACTGAGTAGTTTATATAAAAAACTAAGAGCTTATGACAGTTTGAGACGTCAAAATATCTGTTGACTTTCCCTTCAGAGTCATACGATTGGATCGTACTCTGTCTGTTCATTCGAACGATGTAGCTTTAAAACCCATTTGTCCCCAAGGAAACGGCAGCAAGTATCAACTAGACATCTAAACCCGTTTCGTCTTTTTATGCTAAGCAAATACTGTTTCAAATACCTAGTAATTTTATCGAGTTGATTGTGTAGCAAGTCGCACGTATTCTTATTCGACTAACTTACTGTTAGATCACCTAATGAAGTTGATCACTAGAGTCGTTTCATCTCTGCCTTCCTATCGCATCTGATAGTCTCCTATCGTGATTTAGGGTTTACTCATTTAACTTATAAACAACGAACGAACGAAATTTCAAAATCGGACGTGGTCATTATTTTTTTTATTTCTGCCGAAAGATACCGCGGAGCTTAGAGAATGAAGCTTACTAGCATCAAGTATGTCGCTTAAGTATTACCTCGTGCTGAATATGTTCCTTCAGATAACTTCGGGGCCAACAATAACTACCATCATTTCGACTTACTTATCGAGCTCGGTAAAACTTTTCGCCACTCGATTGTTGTTAACAGCCGCCTGCTACATGCACGTACAGCACGACGGATCCAACATCAACTGGCTTGATAAATCGTACGCTGTCTTTCGATAGTAGGTGATAATGCAATTACGCCATGCCACAGTTACCCCAGACAGCGAAGACTGGATCCTCGTTGGTCTCACGCTGCTAGAGCCTAAGTATGCTTAGGTACACAACTGATACTGTTTCTGATAGCGAAGCTGGTGCATGCATCTCCCTCGTCGGTTGGGCTTGAGGAGTCTCGCACACTCCTGCCCAGGTCCTACTCAAATCTAGTCTGCTTCCAGCCGCTTATTGCTGGTGATGGCCTGCGGAGGTTTTTGTCTGTGATTGCCTGTAAAAACAGTGCCCTGACAAAGACAACGACGACGTCGACAACTCCGCATCAATGAAGTCGCAATGCAACTACCCCATCTCTACTTCCTACACTCGATCGAGCTCCGTTGTGACGCTTGCCGTCGAAACGCGACGAGCCGGTGGCTTCGCTTTTGCTACGGCCACCCTCGCCATTGCTTCGATCCGCTTGCCTGCGTCTGTGCTGCTTGCTGGTTTTATCAGTCGGGCAAACTGGCAATTGCTGGTGCGCCCGTTACCACTAGATATATTTCATGATATGACTTCTCTGCTATGAAAGAGTTTCGCGAATTGAGTTTTTATTGAGAACCATTGCAACTGAGCAAGGACGAGTGGGAGAGCAGAATAACGGAGGGGACAGGCGGTAGTATGTGTGGAGACAAGCGTCGCAGGGCCGTCCGTAGGACCGTAGCTGAATCTGTATTATGAGATCATACTGTTTGAAATACAGCTGATAGTTGTGACGAATACCCGCCAGGTAGTAGTACTAATATTAGACTTGTTATTATCCGCGCGTATACTTTCGTACGCGTGCAGGAATCCGCATAAGATCATGCAGGTCAGAACTCGTCAGCTGACATTCTCCGTTTGTTGATCAAATCTATTGGCTATAACAAAAAAGCTGCTTAGGTAGCTATTTATACCAGACGGAACCCGCGATGGTTAACAAGGCCTAGCCTTAAACTCGTTTAAGGGGATTTCGTGTTTATCGTTCCTTGTTTTATACACTTGACTACCATAGACGCACAGGCCCACTGACAATATACTGCCTTCCCAGTGCGTTTCTATCGTAACGTCAGACACCAGCTTTACTTGACCTTAAATCTAATTTTAAAAGCATCCCAATGCATAAAAACTTCCATAACAAGTACAAGATTCTGAGTTTGGTTTTTAAAAGTACGCTTTGCTAGAAATATAGAAGTAAAACGCGTTCAATAAGACGAAAATATATTGTACCCTCTACGATTTACGGCACCAGTTTTTACCTGAAAGTTCAGACTTCTCAATAACTTCATCTGCACAAATGAGGCCTTATTTAATATTGGCAGGACTCAAGGCAGCGACCAAAACGGCCCTGTATTTATTTCCCACGTTTCAGACAATACTGCTACCAATTGGTCGACTAAACTTAAAGGAATTCATTCATAGAGTTAAACCTTTTGAGACGGGAAAATATTTAGATCGTCTCCAGATCATAATCATGACACCTTTCAATAAATGTATAAAATTAAAGCTATTCATCCGCAAAGGGAGACTAGTTGACGGAGAGATGAACGCGCAGTGATGCCCTTTTTCTTCATCAAAGAACGGATGAATTTGGCAGGTTGCTAATGTCTCTCGTTTAACCTTTCCCTCATTTTGCAGGCGTCGAAGCACTCAGGAGGATGAAATTTGATGACGCAGCT